TAAATAAGGGCAGGAACCCAATTTTTGTTCTTCAAAATTTTTAGTTTTACAAAATCACAGACACTTCATTTTTGCGTCGTTAATTGTACGTGTCGCTTTGCAAAACAAAAAATAAATACAGAAAAAAAAACAATTAAAATACCATCGATTGTAAAACAAAGGATTTTAGCTGTTTGGATTAAGGGTAATTTGGGTAGCAGAAGTAAAATGATGACAAAATAATTTTTTATTGTAGGTAGGTAGGGGAAAATTGTGAAAGCAGACGAGTTGAAATCGAAGTCACAGTGACGCAGATAAGGGCGAAAAGTGAGATTGTAAAAGACTCGCTTAGTGCCGTACGCGTAAATATGAGCCGTTGTGTTACGCCAGAATGGGATCGGATACCTACTCTCGTATTGGGAAACATATATGAATATCTCGAGCCAAAGGATCGATTGAATGCATCGCAGACATGCCGTCACTGGCGTGGGGTGCTCTTCCAAAAGAGGTGTGTATTCTAGATATATTGCTTCGGTTTACATACTAGATACATATGTATATACATGAGTATGTATATAGTGTATTGCCATTGTGGATCTACAGTAGGCCGTTTCCGTTACTGCTTGATACATTTTTTTAGATTAAAAAATCTTGCTAATTTAGTTAAAATTATGAATGTATTTTGCTAATACGTATGTAAATACTACGTTTACTAACATATTTTATCGTACAACTTAAAAAATTGATTTAACTCGCAGATTTTTCAACAACTTCAAGTTAAAGTTGCACGTCAACAATGAGCGGCAGTGTACGTTTTTTCGTCAAACGCTTTGTAATTTGGCAACTGAAGTAACGCTCATATTTGATTTTCTAAATGTTTTCCATATCGAAAAGATAAGGCGTATCCTCTATAGGTGTGTATAAAATACTTTATTTTCCTATCATAATTTGTTGTAACCGTATTAGTAATAATAACTATTTTTTTCATTTTGAAGGATTGCACGTTGTGATAATTTGCAAGGCCTACATTTTTACACTAACAATGTTGGCTTAATCCCACCTGGCGATATAAGTGAAGAGAGCCTTGTCGACATTGAACAGTATGAATTGCTTAATTAGATTAATTTGTAAAACATATACTTACATATAAGTTTATATCGTATTTTTAGATGCTTTGTGGAGCCGCTGAAAATGTTTTTAAATCGCAAAAAATATCCTTGCCAAATTTTGGATTTAGGTGCAATCGAAGCTTTAACCTACTACGGTTTAGATGTATTAAAAGCTTTAAGCAAACCTGAAGCATTACAGCAGCTAACATTGGCTTCGATTAAGTTCGATCCTAGTCATTATCCCATATTTACCTTAGAAACTACTTTGCTGCAAAAGTGCACATCACTACAGGTTAAAATTATAAATATCTTTTATATTATACTAATTTTTTATTTAAGGTTTTGTCACTCGATTACGATACCCTCAACGACGAGCTACTGCGTGCCATGGAAATTCTACCCATGAAAAAGCTCTTAATTTGTATACATGGCTTGGATCGTCAGCATCCTGGTATTTCCGATGTAGCTTGGACTAGATTTGGTGCCTCCTTTCCGAATATCGAATTAATTGTATCTTTAGTGTATGCGTTTGAAGCCGTGGAAGTGCTGCAAGTGCGCATATTGCGTCACAACATGCCAATAACACATTTGAGAGTATTATTTTGTGACTTTGTAAGTAATAATATTTTCATTGTTAATTTATTTTGGGCTGTATAGTATTTATTTGTTCTTAAATCCATTTTAGATGAACGTCGAGGCCTTAGAGTGGATGTCGGTCAATAATAGCAATACACTGAAGAGTATCCAGTGGATAGATTCAGTTAGTTTACATACACACTTATTTTAACAGCTCATTCACTGAGATTTCTTTGTATTTTTCGCAGGCCTACAAGCATTCCGATAAAAATGTGATGGATTTATTTTTACGCTCCGGACAAGATCCTTTCGTAATGATGTCTTGGCGTTGCAAAAACTTAGAGGAAATCGTTATACATGGCTATGTGCTAGATCCACACAATATTGTTGGGATTTCACGCCTTCGTGGCCATACACTCAAACGCCTAGAAGTATCTATGATCGATAACACTCCCACAGAAGCAAGCATGGATTCATTTATTGAAGTAAATCAGTGTTTTTTAAGCAATTATGTATGTATAAGATTACTAGCTTATATTATCTCTTACAGGAAATCAATACATTGCTTGGTCAAAAATGGGAGCCTCTCAACCCAAATACTTTACATCCTGCACTCGGTTACATACCAGTGTCAGATGATGTACGTGATGAATACGTTTTCGATCTCATGCGTCGTGATATGGGCTACTAAAATATTATAATTGCACCAACTCATACCACAACTTTTATGTAAATTTAGGTAAGTTTTAAGTAACTTTTTATATTATTGGCGTCAGTAAAATCATTATTTTACTTGTAGGTTTACTGTAGTTATATTATCAAAAACACAAGTACGTAAAAGCATACATGTTCGATATGGCAGAACATGAGCGGGTGTGCAAAAATGACGCTCATAAGGAAAAAATACCTTAAGAATCTAGCGTCAAAAAACAACAGCAACCAAAGTCAAACGAAAAGTGCTACCATAAAGGCTTTGCAGTGATATTTTATTTCTATAATTTGAAAACTACATCAGTCCAGGCAAAGAAAAAACAAAACTAATGAACATTAGCTAAAACGAACATCATTTAAGTATTGCAAAGAAAAAAAATCAACAACAATATCTTATATAAATATTAGAGTTATAAAAGAACACTAAAACGAAAAATGGAGAAGCATCAAAACTCAATTACCTACGTATTCATAAAAACTAACAAATATATTTAGGCGATAATAGTTTAAGGAAAAACAATAACAACTACTCCTGTGATAAAGGAGAAAATAAATTAATATGTATGCACATATACAATAATACAATATTGATTGGTGGCTCAAGTGCAACGTTAAACATACAAAGATCCTTAAGAAGAAATCACGCATTGCTCCCGAAAAAAAACAACAACAAACAATTGAATTGTAATGGAGACGAAGTACAATTGTTACCACGTTTGGTTTTTTTACCATCAATAACGATGAAAAAGAAATGCCATAAATGTGAAAAACGAAATAGCTTGGAAATCTAACAAGAAGGCATAGTCTAGTTGTGCTCCTATATTAATCAAGAAAGCATTCTAACTTTTTTTTTTTTTTAATTTATTATGTGTGCATTACACAGGCTTAATGTAACAACAAGAACAATGTAGATTTCATCCCAATCTGCGTATGTAACTTTATTCATAATTTTTTATATAGACATATGTACGTATACAAACCAATAAGCAATGTGTTATAACTGCAACACGAACATATATTCCATATTACTTTATTTCTTCGCTTTATAAAAAATAATCTACTTACATACTACAATGAAATTAAATTTACTTGATTTATAGTTGATTATGCTTGGTTCAATCATGAAAAATGGCATATTTTTATAACGAAAAAATTTAAGTGCACGCCGGTTCAATTTACGCCTACGGCCGAAAAGTTTATTGTATTTATGCTCATTTATGTAATCTTAAAACTTTTGATTGCATAAATTTTACAATACTAGACTAATATTATAATTAAGCCAATGCTTAACGCTAAAAAAATCTAAGTTTATTATTATTATTATTATTATTATTCCAATCGATGTCAAAAGCAAATTTTTCGAAAGTATAACACCAAAGGGGGATAGAATTTATGCATATATAAAATGCATATATGAGTAAATCCCACGAGTGGTTCACCTACCTTAGAAAATGCATTATCTTCAGTTTTTTATAGAGAACAAAATTCCATTGCAAAATTGTATTTAAATGAAAACTTAAAAAAGATATACCAAAAAAGTAAAAATAACCCAATGCACAATTTGTAAAAATGGAATTTTAGTTTCTCAAATCATACTCAATCATACTTTTACTCAATGTAATTATTTTTCATTTGGTGAGACACTATAGTCTTATTACACTAAATTCGTTCGTTTTGGAAAGAAGCACATTTTCACCGTTAAAAAAAAAATTGTTTAATTTCAAAAATTACAAGATAGCTGCGACAGATATTCTGCATGCTGCCATTTTTTTTTTTTTAATTTCGTGGTGCACTCTTGAAACTTCACAGCTATGTTTTATATGAGACCAACTTTCATTGCCTCTACCATGAACATTCTATTTGAAAACTTTCCTATGCTATTTAAAAAATAAATATATGATTTTTTCGAGTGGCAATGCAAAAATTATCAATTTCGTTACTTTTTTGCCTAAAAACATTTTAAGGGTAAAATTATTCAAATACTTAATATATTTTGTATAAATACAAGAAGAATGTTTTTGTTTTTTTTTTCTTTGCCGAGAGAAGGGAGTGACACTAAAAAAAAAACAACTCGTGGGATTTGCTCATATATATGTATATATATATATATAACATCGAATATTAAGCAGAAACGCACACGAAATAGAAGAGACAAAGCTGCTTGGAGCCATTTCTACACCTGCCATAGGCGCTGTTTCGTAGTAAAATTAAAAAATACTTATACTATTTTGTGATTTCTTTTTTTATGCAGAATTTAATGCAGCTCTAAAGATTATCGAACAGTGTAATTAAATATAGTTCATAATAATTTTGTTAACTGCATTTTAAGTCCACATTACACAAGCGACATACATAAAGACATCATTCTAATTAAGTTCAATGACACGAACATGAAAAACAAAATGAAAATCAGTAAGAAAGATGCATTTTTTTTTTTTGCAAAAATACTAAAAGCATTCAAATTATTTATTATACATACATACATCAATTTGATTAAAAGCAAATGGCTGTTTTTTTTTTGTGTAAGAACACTATATGTGTATGTAATTGTGTAGAAACATTATTTGTAAAAAACAAAGAGATTTAAAAGACTTAGGACCGACTTTTCAAGTCAGTTTTAAAATTTAGCGGGCCTTTAAACACAAAATTGTGTGCTAAAAAAATGTGTGTTGAAGGGTAAATAAATTTTAATAGCTACTTGAGAAAACGGTTATTAAACACCTGGAACGAAGGCGAATGCGAAGCAGAAGAAGAATGTGCAAAATAACTTAAATGATGTGTATTCCGCACGAAACAACAAATGGAATCTCGAATGCCCTAAAACAGATATTAAGGGAATAACAACAACAACATTAATACATATTTTGTTTAATGTGAACCAAAGCTGTGATTTAATGCAAGCCAGCATACGTTAAGAATGCAACCCCAACAACAACAACAACAACAAAAAGAAAACACGACTACCACAACAACAACAAGTAGAAAATCCATTGTAAGAATGAAGAACAAATAATATAATGCAATTAAAATGTTTAGATTAGTTAAGTAAATTCTGTTGACAGCGAAAAACAAAAACAAAAACACAAAAAATGAAAGCAAGAAATGCCGGCATGTTGATATTAGCAGAGAGCTTAAGTTATTTAGCATAAATAGCATATATTTGAAGTAGTAATTATTTTGCAAAATTTTGGTGTAAGAAACAATACTGTTATTTAGTTTGCAAGCTAACAATATTTTCCCATTTGTTTGACCGCCACCGTATGTTTACCGGGAGTAGTAATTTACATTTTAGGCATCGATAAGTAAGTGTTAGGGGTTTTCAAACCTTTTGAAGATTTTATCGTTATATTTTCGCGACCATTCAGAATAACTTCGAGTTTTACATTCAAGAATTATTTACAGAAACTTGGGAATTTTCGTCATTTTGTATGGTTTTTCGAGATTTTCGTGACTTTTCGTGAACTTTCCGCTCCGAAAGTACATTAATGTCTTAACTTGGTTTATAATGAGTACTTAAAATAAAAAAGCAGAAATAGCCGGCTATTTTGTGTTAAAAAAAAAAAATTATGCCCAATTTTAGGATTGTAAATTTACTTTAATGGCCCAAGAAAATTTGGCTTAAACCCGAAGATGCAACAAATTTCATACAAATTTTAATAGTAAAGTAAATTTAAGGATTTTTTGGGATTCTGAGTTTTTTTGCTGATTAAGAAAATACGTTTTTTTTTTTAAATCTTCTGAGATCCATTTCATTTAACTAGGCGATATCTCCCATCTCCCATTACAATAAATATCTATCTAAGTTAGTATTAATTTCATACATTTTATTTGTGTGTTTTTTTTTGCTTGCTCTCTGCTAAATCATGCAACTAATTGGTTAGTTAGTCATCTTTAAATGTTAAGCTCAAATGTCAACAATGCTCAAAGAAGCGGGTAAAGCGTGCATAATAGCATATTTGCATGTATGTATGTATGTCGGTATGTATATTCGTGTGTAGGTATTATAAAAACATTTAACAGCATAAATGAATTTTAAGAACTCAAAGAATGTGGTACAAATACAAATACTTAGAAAAATTCCAACTTAATATTTATGTATATAGTACCGCTAAGTGCACGAAACGAAGAACAAACGAAAAAATCAAAGGTACGCATTACAAGCAACAACAACAACAAACAAATTGTGATGAAAAGTATAACTATGAATATATCAAACACCGTAATTTAGAGAGGAGAGAATTGAAAGACAACAAACAAACAGAAATCCAGCATATTTATCTAAACAGCATGTGTATGCGCGAGTTAACAAATTAAAACTAAATAAATATGTAGTATGTATGTATGTACGTAAGAACAAAATGCAAATGCAATTGCAGTCAGGGCAGATATGAATAACAAAAATGTATTGTATGTATGTATGTATGTATGTATAGTGCGTACCACATGAACCTACTGTACTATCTATCTAATGTACGATTGTGTGTACGCATATATTTTGCAATTTAATTGATATGTGATATGCGCGTCCGCGACGAATATATAACAAAAACAAAAAACGTCATGCGCGACAAGCAAAAAACCAACCAACCAACCAACTAACCTACAAACAAACAAACAACATCTGAACAAAGAATGTTTAAAAGTGATATTAACCAATTATATTAATAAACAACAACAACAACAAGAATTGTAGTTATAACTATACATATATATATGTAAACTGGCAATAAGGCAATCTGCTGTTTACCAACTACGAGTACCTTGCAGGCAACAACAACTACTATAAAAAAAAATAAAATCGCAAGGATTTGCCAAAAAGCAAATTTTTATACATATTGTACATATAAACATCATTGTGCTATAAGAAATGATTGGAAAATCAGCAATCAATAAATGAATGTGATGCTAAATGAATACAACTTGAAATCAAACAACTCTCTACACATACTACTGCGAGTACTAGAACTATCAATTTATAGTGTTCCACAATTAACTGAAGCGCTAAAGATATTTGAAATCTGTATACTAATAACACTGGTCTACAAATTTCAACTTTTTTTCTGCGAATAAGACGGGACCTGGTGTTTCTGAACGGATTTTTCGTGCTGAACACGAATCCGGGGTCAAAAATGTCCCATCACGTCACGTTTTCGAGAAAAAAAGGGGTTGAAACCCCTAAAAACAGCGTTTTTGGCCATTTTCGAAAAATTATAGAGCTGAACCCTGACGTGGTACAAATTTTGCATATATCAGAAATTAAAGGCTAAACCGTGCCCTTTCGAATGAGCCCTATGCCGAATTGATCGCGTGCACCCTTAAAGCAGGGGGTGTATTTGTGTTTAGGGGTGCAGGAAAAATTGATCACAGAAAGAATTTAATCTTAAACGATCATAGAAAATTAATAATGCCAAGGTTTTAACTATATTAAAAGTCGCTGATTACGAATCTGCAGTTAGATTTTAAAAATTTAAGATGACGGGTCGAATATGGTGGATATAAAAAATAAACTGAAATTCGCTAAATAAAAATTTTTAAGTCCGCCATATTGGATCCGCCATTTTGAATTTTTAAAATCTAACTTCAGATTCGTAATCAGCGACTCTTAATGTAGTTAAGACCTTAGCATCATTCATTTTATATGGTCGTTTAAGATGAAATTCTTTCTGCGATCAATTTTCCCTGGACTCCTAGACACAAATACACCCCCTGATCTAAGGGTGCATGCGATTAATTCGGCATAGGGCTCATTCGAAAGGGCACGATTTAGCCTTTAATTTCTGACATATACAAAGTTTGTAGCACGTCAGGGTTCAGCTCTACAATTTTTCAAAAATGGCCAAAAACGCTGTTTTTAGGGGTTTCAACCCCTTTTTTCTCGAAAACGTGACGTGATGGGAAGTTTTGGACCCCAGATTCGTGTTCAGCACGAAAAATCCGTTCGGAAACACCAGGTCCCGTCTTATTCGCAAAACCCTTGTAGACCAGTGTAATGTAGGATTTGTACTTGTGCAGTGGTGGTCTTATAATTAGGGACATTATACTTTTTTATAAGCTTGGACTAATAAACAATGAAAACCATTCAACTCAAAGTTACAAACCTTGTACAGGATTTATAAAAATTGTCAAATTTCAAAAAAATGGTCAGCAAAATTTCAAACTTTTTAATCAGAATTTCTAGAAAAAATTAGGGTATTCAGTTTTATAGCCCATTCAATTTTAGTATAATATTGTTCAAGCTTCAAGTGGCAAAGAATTCGTTCTGGCGTTTCATAGTCCAGCTCGCAAAAGGGACCGGCGTTTATTATTATTAGCCGAAACCTTAGTTAGGGTCGATTAAAACTACTTTGTTGACGCTATGCGTAATCTTCTATGATCTTGAAACAATCTTTTTTTTTCTTTTGGCTTTGATATCGTTGCATAGATCGTTATGCTCAGATGACAGGCTTTTCGCTTTTGTGTGGGCCGTCATCCAATGCAAGTTGCTCTCAGTTTTGTCCTCGATTTATTAATGTTATATTTTG